AACCCATCTCCTCACCTTTCTCTCTCTCTAAGGTTAGAAAATGAAATAAACTGAAATAAAAAATAGAATTGTGTTCAATAATTTTTTTTATTTTTAATATTTTGAAAGCAAAAAAATTGAAAGTAAGTTTAGTAATTATAATTTTATTTTGGTGACCATTTTTCTCTTACATTCCACGGCGGCTTGATAATTTGTCACAAAGAGACATTTGGTGAAATGCATCAACAAATAGAGGATTATTCCCGTTGTGATTGGACAACAGAGAGTTAGCAACAATCAATCTATTGTTTTTTATATTTGATTTGTCATCAAATGCTATTTGATTCCACCACCTCTATAAAGCGCCTACACCTTCGATTACTCGGATTCGTTGGCGGCAAAGTGCCTTATATAAGAGATCGTTTGGTTTCGGTTTTTATTATATCTAGTTTTAGATTTCTTTAGTTTAGCTTATCCCAATTTTATACAAATTGAGATTTATTGTATTCTTGTTCCAAATAAACACAATTTTATACAAATTGGACGAAATGGTCATTTTATATGGTCTGTATTTATAATATTTAGTTTAGTCAACTAAAAAAAGGCCAATTAAAGTGGTCTGTATTTATTATATTCTTGTTCCAAATAAACACAAGATTCACACACTCGCGCGCATATATATATATATATATATATGCGCGCGCGAGTGTGTGAATCTTGTACTACTTCCGTCCCACTTTAATTGTTGCTTTTGAAAACTCTGACTCACATATTTGTGAATCGCGATTCTCAAAAGTAACAATTAAAGTGAGACAGAGGGAGTATTTTTTTTCTTCTTTTTCTCGTATGATAAAGTGTAAATGTATTAATTGGTATCACTGTGCCGGCCCATCACAATCGGCACTAGTAGATACAAAAGAAGGTCCAGTGACCTATACATAAGCCCAAAGGTAACAAAATTAAACTTAAGCAGCTCAAAGGCATTAATAAGTAAACACAAAACACCAAAGGATCTAGGCTAGCCCATAATCCAGCTTTCAAAATAAGACCGTTATAGCCTTTAGCCAACCGTCAACTACTCTTGTACTGCCAAGTGCCAATTAAGACTTCAATTTGGTTAACTTTGTTGCTATTTAATAATAATAATAATAAATCAAAATTTTTAAAAATTTTTTTATCAAAAATTGTTTATTAATTCTTATTGACATTTTCATTTTCTATATATTTTATTCCAAGTCAATATCTCATCGCTTGCCTTAGTTTATTTTTATTTATTTTTTCCTGTTTGCCTTGGTTTAATAGTGCAACTAAGATATATTCTTTTCGTTTTTGCCAAGGAAAAAAAAAAAGTATAAGTTTTTTTATTTTATTTTATTAAACATTGCAATTAAGAAAGACGTTATTATGTCTGTTAGTGTAGCGACAGATCTGATTGTATCTTATTTATCTAAACCAATGAATCGCAAGCTAATTTAAAACTTGTTGCATGTGTGAGGATTATAATTTTCTACATGTTACCAAGACTTACATTTTTAAAGATCTGATTGTAAGGACACACCGACGTTTGGAACAATCAAAAAAATAATAATTTTGATTGTTGGGACAACGTTGAACATTGGAGCTACTACAAAATTTTAGGTTTTTTTTGGTGAAATGACAATTTCTTTTTTTCCTGGGTGAAATGACAATATAATATATATATATATATATATATATATATATATATATATATATATATTCTGTACGTCATGAAAACATATTATTTATCTGGTCATAGAATTGCTTGTCAAATGTGTTACTTCCATGGTACTTGTTTCCATACCCACTGGCTGAGTCAGGATCTTGAGGTTGGGGGGCCAAAATTATAAACAACTTAGCTAGAACTTTTGAAAAAATATATATATCTATTATGTAGGCAAAAAATTTTACTATTTATTATATTCATACAAAAATATATCTATCTAAACTTTTCCCAATTTATTTAAATAAAAAAATTAGTTATTTAAAGAAATTTTTTATCAAACTTTCTAAACAAACACAAATAAGATTCACAAATAAGATTTATGCCAAAATTATAAAAAAATTCAATTAAATAACTCTCTTTATTTGCCCAAAAAAAAAAAAAAAAAAAAAAACACAAATAAATTAATAAAATAAGACTTTAGATTCTTAAATCATCGATTTTGTAAAAATTAATTTCTTATAGAATTATTATAAAAGCATTCTAATAAAAATAAATAAAAGGAAAAAGAAAAAAAGTGATGGAAAGAATCATGTATGAGATGGAATTTTAGGATAATAAGGTTATGGAAAGAATCATGCTTGAGTTAGAAGGATTTAAGATAGTCACATTATGGAAATAATGATATTTGAGCTGAAATTTTAAGATAGTCACATTAAATTTTTATCAATTCTATAGTCGTCAATTAAATCACATTCTTTTAAATTATATATAAACTATCTTTTGCTAAATGCTAATTAAAGAAATAATTTTTTTTTTTTCTTTTTCTTATGGCCGTCAATTAAATCATGTTCTTTTAGATTATATATAAACTATCTTTTGCTAAATGCTAATTAAAGAAATAATTTTTTTTTTTCTTAGGGGAGCTAAGTACAGATTTTATATCATATATGTTATATTATTTTATTTTTAGTATATTTTAATCTATACTAAAAAAAATTTCAAAAAATTAGGGGGGGAAGAAGGTTTGGTGCAAAGCAGAACAAGACTCACAAGAGAGATGGCCTCCCACATAAAACAAGCAAAGTTAATGGATAGTCGCATTCACACGTGGTTTCGGTCACAAATTACGCGCGGTCAAAGTTGATGGAGATTCGCATTCACAGCTATATTTTTTGCATAGTTTCTGTTTTATTTTATTTTATTCATTTATTTATTACTATTTTTGTACAATAACTTTTCGAAGACTTGTTGCCTCGAAAGAACAAGATTAGGGTGAAGTCAATGAAATTATTATTATTTTTTTGTCATATTTAAATAATATTTATTTATTGTATAGTTTTTTTATTATTTATTTTATTTTTTACGAAAATACACAAGCATGCACCCACTTGTTCTTACAAATTTTTTTTTACATGATTTAGAACTAAATGATTCTGACAAATAACGTACAATCATGTGTGCAATTGTATTAATTTTTTGTAATTTTTTACTTACCTAGATGCATGTGATTGGTCCGCCATGGAAACTTGAATCCTTAATTGTTTTGCTTCCAATTTTGTTTAAATAATCTTACATAATTTCAATAAATATATGTGTGACTGATAATACCACTGATCTTTGCTGTCATTTGTATTTGTGTAACTAAATTGCCCCTGCCCAAACGGAGATTTGCAAACATCAACAAAATTTGACTTTGTTATCACCAAAAAAAAAAAATATTAAAAAAAAATAAAAATAAAAATATTAATAAAAAATAAAATCTCAATTTTGCCTTTTTTATGCGTGAAGTGACATTGTGCCCACGTTCATCAGACTAAAAGTACATAAATACCTTTCTTTTATAGAGTCAATCGACTAGAGACCTAAATCATATATATATATAAATGTTGGATAAAATCTTACCAGCATATTGCAAACCTACATATCCCAATTGCAAATACAATGGAAACTCGACCCTAGTGTCACGGACTTGAACCTTTCCAAACTCACGTACGGCCTTGGACACTTTTAAGCCCCCTTGAAGCGCTAAGTCAGCCTACCCGAGTGTGCTAGCTTAGTGAAGATTAAGGCTTGACAAGTGCTTTGCTTACTTGGGTGTGTAGGAAGAGGTTAGGCAAGTGAGCAAGAGAGTTTGGAAATGTATAGAACTTGTATTGCTTGAGAGGAGAAGATTACAACTTGGTTGCTTGGTGAGGAGCAAATGAACTCCCACCTCCTATTTATAGGCCTTTGGCCTTACAAGAACATTCTAGATGTGTACAAATGTGTGACCTAGATTTAGTATCTAGAATCCTCTAAAGAAATATTTACACAATTCTAGAACTATGTACAATGTACAAGACAAGTCTAGAGAATTCTATACAACTCTAAACAAGTCTAGAAAAGGTTAGACAACTCCACACTAATCTAGAGAATTCCGGAAAGTTCCATACTTGTGTAGAGAAGTCTAGAAAGCTCCGGTCCATGTAGGCTCCATGTCATCATCTGCTGGGCATCTACGTGGCGTAGCCTCTTGATTGCAGGGCGTGACATTCTCCCCCACCTAAGCTTGGGACGCCCTCGTCGCATCTTCTTGCTTGAACCGTTGCATATGCTCCGCGAACTGCCAAAGTGTATTCTCATGTTCTCAGCTCGCCTCGCTATCTGGCAGGTTCTTCCATTTCACTAAGTACTCTGTATACTTGGGCACACCTCTCCTGTTCATTACACGATCCGCAAGGATGCAATCAACTTCCTTATTAAATGATGTGAAAACAGCCGTGGGTGCCCTATGCAATATGCCCCGAGTAAGGTCTTCCGTGTCTTCATGATAGGGCTTGAGCATGCTGACATGGAAGACTGGATGTATCTTCAACTTGGGTGGAAGTTCCACCATGTAGGAGACCTTACCCACTCGCTTGACAATGGGGAACGGGCCCTCGTACCTTCTTACTAGCCCCTTATGCACGCTCCGGAAGGACTTAAACTGTTAAGGTAGTAGCTTAACCATCACCTGGTCTCCCACTATGTACTCCACCCGCCTTTGCTTGGTATCGGCCCACTTTTTCGTCTTCTTTGTTGCCTTGTCAAGGTACGCCCTAGCCAAGTCGAACTGCTCGTGTCACCTCTTAGCAAATTTGTAAGCCGCCGGACTTTTACCATCGCAAGTTGAAGCAATGGCGTTAGGTGTCATAGGCTGCCGTCCGGTAACAACCTCAAATGGACTGTGATTGGTAGCCTCACTCCGCTGCAAGTTGTAAGAAAACTGTGCCATCCCAAGGAGTTTGGCCCAATCTCGCTGGTTGGCACTCACATAGTGCCTCAAATAAAGCTTTAAGAGAGCGTTGATACGCTCCGTCTACCCATCTGATTGGGGGTGGAAACTCGTAGAGAAGTTGAGATCCGTTCCCATCTTCTTGAAGAGCCCCGTCCAAAATCTACGCGTGAAACACGGGTCTCTATCACTGACAATATTCTGCGGAACTCCCCAAAGCTTGACCACATGGTCAACAAATAACTCTGCTGCCCTCTCTGCTCTGCAGTCTACTGGTCCGGGTATGAAGGTGGCATACTTGCTGAACCGATCTACCACCACTATAATGCTCCCACAACCTTCTGACTTGGGCAAGCAAGTAATGAAATCTATAGAGACACTCTCCCATGGTCTCTCTGGAATAAGTAATGGCTCCAGTAGGCCTGTAGGATGCTGTTGCTCAATCTTGTCGTGTTGGCACACAAGACAAGTCCTCACATATGTCTCCATATCATCGCACATCCGAGGCCAATAATATGAATCTTCAAGGAGTGCTAGTGTGCGCCGTATACCTGGGTGACCAGCCCACTTGGTGTCGTGGCACTCTCTTATCAATTCCTTTAGCAAGTTGCCCCACCTGGGCACAAATAGTCGGTCCCCTGTAGTGAAAAGTAAATCATCCTTTAGCCAAAAGCGCCGAGTCTTCCCTTCCTTAGCCAGCTGAATAAGGCTTTTGGCTAGAGGGTCATGCTGCAACCCCTTCTTGATCCGCTCTACAAGAGGGTGCTGGGGCCGACTAATAGTTGCGAGCTCGACCTTGCGACTAAGCACATCCGCCACAACATTGGCCTTGCTCGACTTGTATTCAAAATGATAAGTGAACTCTGCTAGGAAGTCCTGCCATCGAGCTTGCTTGGGGCTAAGCTTCTTCTGTGTTTGGAAGTAGCTTGTAACGACCCAAAAGGATACCAAAATAATAATAAAAATCTATAAAAATTTCGGCATGACCTCCGCAGAAAATGTCTCTAAATAACCTGTTGAAATACAAAAAAAAAAAAAAAATACAATGGCCTCACTGGGCCTTAAATCTAACATATCCTGTCCCAACGCAATATACATATATTATATCACATCTCCAAAGTGACTACATACATACAATATCCCATTCCTCCATCTCATCCAACAAGGAACATACTTTGGTTACATCAAGTTACAGTCCAAAAAGCGTAGTTAGAATTTAAAAGTCCATGGCTTACAACATTATACTAATTAAACTAAAGTTTTACGAGTTAGTTAATATTACATTTACAAAATATTAGAGAGTTTTAATACAAAAGATAGCAACAAAAAAAAAAAAAAAAAAAAAAAAGGTCTCCGTGCTCATCTAAAATCGTGGTGGATCGTCATCCGCCACCTCTTTTCCATATCCTGAAAAATGTTAGAAATAATGGGGTGAGTATAAGCTCAGTAGGAAGTGTCTAAGACACACTTCTTATATCCCCGTGAATCCATACAATGAATAGATAAAAAGTGAAAGGGATCATGCTATAAGGAAACACACACTCTCAAATACAATAACAAGTATGTAACAAATACCACCCAATCACAAGTTAACCACAATGTCATGAAGTGTAATATGCAAATGTTACTCCCCATTTTCTGAAACATTTCCGTTTCAACTTCCAAAACCGTTAGTGTAATCCGACCCAAGGCACCTCCAAGGCGTCACGAATGGAGGGTTGACTAACTATCCACGACCACAAGGCACCTCCAAGGCGTCGCATCCGGCCTAGTTAGCTCAACCATGATCCCTTCTAGACTACACTAACACCACGGACCACTAGGCGCCTCCTAGGCGTCCGGTTTTCGCAAACTCCTTTAAAAAATATTTTCCCCAAAATAATTTCTATATATATATATATATATATATATATATATATATATATATATATATTTTTCCTTTCTCTTTCCTAATGAATGCATGAATGTGTATGTTTCGATTTATCAATTCAACCATAGGCTCTCACACTTTTCATTTACATCATTATCACAATTTAATAGAAATTTCTAAGCAATCATTTCTTTTATTTATTTATTGACCATAGCATCATTTTCTTTCAAAGCAATAAATAAATAAATAAAAAATACATAATCTTATGACATACAATATGTCAACACCAAACATGCTCAATCACCGTAATAAATCTAGTCATATTTATGAATTCAAATAACACATGGAACACATTTAGCATTTTAATTAAACATACTTCAACCACAAACTAGATAATCAAAATTAGCATGCATAGGATCAAATTTAAGGGGAAAAATTCACAAAAAAACTAAGAAATTGTAGATTAGAACACCCCTACCTTAATGAAGTGAAAACTCCCAAAATCCCCAAATCCAAGCCCAAGAACCTTAGAATTTTGAACTCCCTAGAGTGCACCAAATGATGATTGGCTCTTATCAAATTGAAGGTCTTGACAAGCTCTTCGAATTTGCTTCACAAGGTTCTACCAAATTTCAAAGGGATAGAGCTAGATCAAAGCTTGAAATTGCAAAAAAAAAGAAAAAAGGAGAAACTGCCGAGAGAGAGGGTCTGGACGCAGAGAGAGAGAGAGATAGCAGAATAAAAGGCTATACAATGACTCTTAAGTCATTGACTTAAAACTCATACGGGCCCCACAAGTAAATAAATAAATATTTATTTAACTTATATATATAAACACTACATTCTCCCCAACTTTAAAAGATTTCGTCCTCGAAATTAGGCCATACCTGAGGGAGAAAACAACTCTGGATACTTGGAGCGAATCTCCTGTTCGAGCTCCCAAGTAGCCTCCTCAACTTCATGATGCTTCCAAAGAACCTTTACCAACGATATTGTCTTTTTCCTCAACACCTTCTGTTGTGTGTCAAGAATCTGAACTGGTCCCTCTTCGTAAGAAACATCCTCATCAATGTCCACATCAACCCAATTCAAAATATGAGACGGATCTGGCTCATACTTTCGTAACATCGACACATGAAAGACATTATGAACCCTGTCCATCCGTGGTGGCAATGCTAGTCTGTAGGCAACCTCTCCTACGCGGTCTAAGATCTCAAAAGGTCCAATAAATCGTGGCGACAACTTGCCACTCTTCCCGAACCTCATCAACCCCTTCCTTGGAGAAACCCGAAGAAAAACATGGTCTCCCACCTCAAAGGATAGCGGTCGTCTTCGCCTATCTGCATAACTCTTCTGTCGGCTCTGAGCTGTAAGCAATCTCTGTCTGATCAGCTTAATCTTCTCGGTAGTCTCGAATACAATGTCGGGTCCTAAGGCGGTTGTCTCGCCCACCTCAGTCCAATAGACAGGAGACCTACAAGGTCTACGATACAACGCCTCAAATGGAGCCATCTGAATACTCGCCTGATAACTATTGTTGTAGGCAAACTCAATAAGTGGAAGGTGATCCTCCCAACTACCACCCAAGTCAAGTACACAGGCTCGAAGCATATCCTCTAAGATCTGGATGGTACGCTCCGACTGGCCGTCCGTCTGTGGATGAAATGCAGTACTAAAGTGCAACGCTGAGCCAAACGCTGCTTGAAGTCCTTCCCAGAACTTCGAGGTGAACTTAGCATCCCTATCCGACACAATAGCCACTGGAACTCCGTGCAATCTCACAATCTCTTTCACATAAAGTACACCGAGTGTCTTTGCGTCATCTGTTGCCTTAATAGGCAAGAAGTGAGCCGTCTTGGTCAATCTATCAATAATAACCCATACGGCTTCAGTTCCCCTCCGTGACCTAGGAAGACCTGTCACAAAATCCATTGCAATCTCCTCCCATTTCCATTGCGCTACCGGCAACGGCTGCAATAAACCAGCTGGTCTCTGGTGCTCGGCCTTCACCTGCTGACAGGTAAGGCACTTAGCTACAAACTGTGCAACATCATTCTTCATTCCATTCCACCAATACTGACGTCTCAAATTGTGATACATTTTGGTACCACCCGGATGAACTACAAAGTGGGAAGTATGAAACTCCCATAAGACGTCCTCACGACAAACTGTAGGAACAACCAACAAACCCCTAAACCGTAGACCTCCATCTGCATGTAAGGTCCAATCCTTCACGATCTCGCCACTGGAGATCAAAGTGTAAATGGCATCCAAATCTGAATCCTGTCTCTGTGACTCAATCACCCATCTAACAAGAGTGGGTTGAGCCACGAGACTAAACAAGAATGCCGACTCACTACCATCATCATCATCATCAAAACAATACAATCCCATTTCAGCCAAATTTTCCAGTATTTTCCATTTCCGAATGGCTAAACTAGCCAAAGTCCCACGAGATTTCCGGCTTAAAGCATCAGCTACCACATTTGCCTTGCCAGGATGATACTGCAATTCAAAGTTATAGTCTTCTAAGAATTCAACCCATCGCCTCTGTCTGTTGTTCAAGTCCTTTTGGGAGAAAAGGTACTTGAGACTCTTGTGGTTCGAGAACACCTCAAATCTCTCACCATACAAATAGTGTCTCCAACACTTCAAAGCAAATACAACTGCCGCTAACTCTAAGTCATGAGTAGGGTAGTTAAGCTCGTGAGTCTTCAACTGTCGAGACCCATAAGCCACTACTCTATCATCTTCCATCAGTACACAACCCAAACCATCACGTGAGGCGTCACAATAGATCACATAACCCAAGCCACGCTCAGGTATCACCAACACCGGAGCCGTAGTCAACCTTGTTTTCAACTCTTGAAAGGATGACTCACAGGCCTCATTCCATACAAACTTGATCCCTTTCCTGGTCAATCTGGTCATAGGAGCTGCCAAACGGGAAAAATCCTTCACAAATCTCCGATAATAATCCGCTAGGCCAAGAAAACTCCAGATCTCAAAGACATTATTGGGTTGCTCCCAACTCAAAACTGCTTCTATTTTTGAAGGATCAACTGAAACCCCACCTTCCGAGACAACATGTCCTAAAAATTTCACCTCTTGTAGCCAAAACTCACACTTTTCATACTTGGCGTACAAACGGTGCTCCTGTAGAATCTGCAACACTATACCCAAATGGACCTCGTGCTCTTCCCGAGTCCGTGAATACACAAGAATATCATCCACAAAAATTACCACAAACTGATTCAAGTAATCGTGGAAGACACGGTTCATCAAATCCATGAATGCCGCCGGCGCATTGGTTAAACCAAAAGGCATAACAAGAAACTCGTAATGTCCATACCGCGTACGAAACGTGGTCTTTGGAATATCCTCCTCTCTAACCCGTAACTGATAATAGCCTGACCTCAAGTCAATCTTCGAAAAACAACTGGCTCCCCTCAACTGATCAAATAAATCATCTATCCTTGGTAAATGATACTTGTTCTTGATGGTGGCATGATTCAACTTTCGGTAATCAATGCACAACTTCAAAGAACCATCTTTCTTCTTAGCGAACAAGACCGGTGCACCCCACGGTGACACACTCGGTCGGATAAAGTCTTTCATCCTCAAATCATCAAGTTGTTTTTTCAATTCTTCTAATTCAATCGGTGCCATACGATACGGTGCCATAGAGATTGGTGCGGTACCAGGCATCAAATCAATAGCAAATTCCACCTCTCGGTGTGGAGGCAACTCAATCAAGTCCTTCGGAAACACATCCAGAAAATCACGCACAACTGCTGGATAATCAACCCCATAAAACTCAACGTCATCATCGGCGAAAAGACTAGCCAAGAAGAATGTCTGCCGATCTCGACCCCTAACACCATAAAATGAATGAGTGAGAGGATCACACCGATCTCCCACAAAACAGAAACAATCCCCATCCGGGGTACACACTGAAACTCTGCCCCTGAAACAATCAATGACAGCTCTGAAGGATGACAACCAGTCCATCCCAAGAATGACATCAAATCCCATCATCTCGAGAAGGATGAGATCGAACTCAAGAACACGTCCGGCAATTGTGATGGAACAACTCCTACAAACTCTACTAAGAGCAACTGAACCCCCGATAGGCGTGTCAACACAAAACGGTCTGTCTAACTGACTGACCTCTAAACCCAATGCCCGTGCAAATGATGAAGCAATGAATGAATAAGAAGCACTAGAATCAAACAATACACGAGCCCAAGAATGGGACACAAGAAACATACCCCTAACAACTGAAGAACTGGATGGTGACTCGGCTGGAGTGAGTGCAAACACGCGACCCTGGGTCCTCTGCCCCTGGGAACTGCCTGCCTGATAACCAGACTGCTGAGTAGGTGCACTCGAGGAAGCTCCCCTACCAGGTCGAGAACTCTGGGTTGACATAGCTGGCTGAGGTGGTGGTGGTGGTCGAAATCCTGACTGAACTGTGGCAGACTGCATCTGCCTCTGCTGTGAACCTCCACCTCTACCTAAACCACTGCCTCGCTGTGGACAATCTTTCACCCTATGGCCCTGCTGGCCACACCCGAAACATCCACCAGACGCCACCTGAATCTGAGTACACTGGGACTTGTGATGCCTTGGCTGCCCACACTTGAAACAAATCATCCGAGCTACCTGTGTCTGAGTGCATTGGGACTTGTAATGTCCCAACTGCCCCCATCTGAAACAAGTAACATTCGGTCTAGAAGACCCTATGGACACTGAAGCTGTAGGTGCAGATCTAACTGGCTGCTGTCCCCTGAACCCTGACTGCTCATGCTTCTGCTTCTTACTTGATTGACCTTCGGAGAAAGTACTCATACCCCTGTTGTGCTTGTAGGACTCCCGGATAGCCTTGTTGTCCTTACTCTCAGCCTCAACCACTAAAGCCTTTCGCACTGCTTTTGCATACTCTGTTGGTTCTGAAGCAGCTACAATTGGCCTAATGGTAAGATCAAGGCCATCAACAAATTTCTCTATCTTTCCTTCTTCATCATTAGCAATTCCCGGTGCAAACCTCAAAAGTGATGTAAACTTGTTTTCATACTCTGTAACTGTCATACTTCCTTGCTTTAACCCATCAAACTTCTTCTTTAGTTCCCTCCGCTTAGGCGCTGGAAAGTACTTCTCATAATACAACTTCTTGAATGTAGCATATGTCATAGTATCCAGATTATGGGTGTGAAAAACGGTCTTCCACCAAATCTCAGCATCGCCCACAAAATTGTAAGTCGCCAATGTGATCTTCAACTTGTCCGTTGCCAAATTCATGGCATTAATATGCTTCTCCACCCTATCCAGGAAACTATCCGCAACAAGCGGATCTGGACCACCCTCAAACAAGGTTGGCATCAACTTCACGAACCTGGTAATGTGAGAAAGAGTATCATCTAGCTCATTTGTCTTCGGAGGTGGTGGTGGTGGTGGAGTTGGTGGTGGCACAAACTGTGACGATGACGCACCTGTCGGTCGATATGCATCAAAAATAGCCTCTTGAATGGCTAACCTAATTTGTTCCCTATTCATCTGAAAAGGTGGATCAACAGTCCCCCCCGCTTGTCCCCCTCTTGGTGGGACCAAATCACGCAACAAGATATCTTCCTCAACTTGCTCCTGATCCCTTTCCACGGGATTGGAGCTAGAACTTTCCCCGGGATCCCTTCATGTTGCCATGACGCTATAAGAAAAAGGAAATAGATCAAAAACGATGACACTAAAATACGCACCAGAACGAAGTCCTCACACGAATGACTTGACAAGAATGGGAACACATAAGCACCTTTCATAGTCCCAAAATACCCAACTAATGATAAACATGATCATGCTAATCATATACAACAACATTAAGCACTTAACACGTAGTCATATAAGCAGTTAAACAAATAAGCATGTAATTCAAATAATTAAGCACCTTAACATATAAGCATATAAGCATGCCATCACGTAAACAATTAAGCAAGTAAGCAAATAACTCAACTCCCCATGCAATCCTAGGTAGGCCTCTACCCGTCGTCCTAATGGTATTTGAACCATTGCTCTGATACCAAATTTGTAACGACCCAAAAGGATACCAAAATAATAATAAAAATCTATAAAAATTTCGGTATGACCTCTGCAGAAAATGTCTCTAATCAACCTGTTGAAATACAAAAAAAAAATTAATACAATGGCCTCACTGGGCCTTAAATCTAACATATCCTGTCCCAACGCAATATACATATATTATATCACATCTCCAAAGTGACTACATACATACAAAATCCCATTCCTCTATCTCATCCAACAAGGAACATACTTTGGTTACATCAAGTTACAGTCCAAAAAGCGTAGTTAGAATTTAAAAGTCCATGACTTACAACATTATACTAATTAAACTAAAGTTTTACGAGTTAGTTAATATTACATTTACAAAATATTAGAGAGTTTTAATACAAAAGATAGCAAAAAATAAAAATAAAATAGGTCTCCGTGCTCGTCTAAAATCGTGGTGGATCGTCGTCCGCCACCTCTTTTCCATGTCCTGAAAAATGTTAGAAATAATGGGGTGAGCATAAGCTCAGTAGGAAGTGTCTAAGACACACTTCTTATATCCCCGTGAATCCATACAATGAATAGATAAAAAGTGAAAGGGATCATGCTATAAGGAAACACACACTCTCAAATACAATAACAAGTATGTAACAAATACCACCCAATCACAAGTTAACCACAATATCATGAAGTGTAATATGCAAATGTTACTCCCCATTTTCCGAAACATTTCCGTTTCAACTTTCAAAACTGTTAGTGTAATCCGACCCAAGGCACCTCTAAGGCGTCACGAATTGAGGGTTGACTAACTATTCACGACCACAAGGCACCTCCAAGGCGTCGCATTCGGCCTAGTTAGCTCAACCATGATCCCTTCTAGACTACACTAACACCATGGACCACTAGGCGCCTCCTAGGCGTCCGGTTTTCGCAAACTCCTTTAAAAAATATTTTCCCCAAAATAATTTCTATATATATATATATATATATATTTTTTTTTTTTTCCTTTCTCTTTCCCAATGAATGCATGAATGTGCATGTTTCGATTTATCAATTCAACCATAGACTCTCACACATTTCTTTTACATCATTATCACAATTTAATAGAAATTTCTAAGCAATCATTTCTTTTATTTATTTATTGACCATAGCATCATTTTCTTTCAAAGCAATAAATAAATAAATAAAAATACATAATCTTAGGACATACAATATGTCAACACCAAACATGCTCAATCACCGTAATAAATCTAGTCATATATATGAATTCAAATAACACATGCAACACATTTAGCATTTTAATTAAACATACTTCAACCACAAACTAGATAATCAAAATTAGCATGCATAGGATCAAATTTAAGGGGAAAAATTCACCAAAAAACTAAGAAATTGTAAATTAGAACACCCCTACCTCAATGGAAGTGAAAACTCCCAAAATCCCCAAATCTAAGCCCAAGAACCCTAGAATTTTGAACTCCCTAGAGTGCACCAAATAATGATTGGCTCCTATCAAATTGAAGGCCTTGACAAGCTCTCCGACTTTGCTTCACAAGGTTCTACCAAATTTCAAAGGGATAGAGCTAGATCAAAGCTTGAAATTGCAAAAAAAAAGAAAAAAGGAGAAACTGCCGAGAGAGAAGGTCTGGACGCAGAGAGAGAGAGAGCAGAATAAAAGGCTATACAATGACTTTTAAGTCATTGACTTAAAACTCATGCGGGCCCTACAAGTAAATAAATAAATATTTATTTAGGTGTTGTGGCACTCCCGTATCAATTCCTTTCACAAGTTGCCCCACCTGGGCACAAATAGTCGGTCCTTTGTAGTGAAAAGTAAATCATCCCTTAGCCGAAAGTGCCGAGTTTTCCCTTCTTTAGCCAGCTGAATAAGGGTTTTGGCTAGAGGGTCATGCTGCAACCCCTCCTTGATCCGCTCTACAAGAGGGTGCTGGGGCCGACTAATAGTTGCGAGCTCGGCCTTGCGACTAAGCACATCCGCCACAACATTGGCCTTGCCCGACTTGTATTCAAAATGATAAGTGAACTCTGTTAGGAAGTCCTGCCATCGAGCTTGCTTGGGGCTAAGCTTCTTCTGTGTCTGGAAGTAGCTGGTGGCAACATTATTCGTCTTGATCACAAATTGTGCCCCGAGCAAGTAGTGCATCCAAGTACGTAGGCAATGGATGACCGCTGTCATCTCTTTCTCCTGCATCGTATAGCGCCGCTCGGTGTCACTAAACTTGTGGCTCTCATAATCTATAGGGTGTTCTTCCTGCATCAACACGTCCCCTATAGTAAAGTCTGATGCATCCGTGTGCACCTCATAGGGCTTGGAGTGGTTGGGCAAGCTAAGTTCCGACTCCTCTGTAACTGCCCTCTTCAAGTCATCAAATGCCCCCTGGCATGACTCTGTCCCACTCCAAGCACACGCCTTCTTGAGAAAGTCTGTCAATAGGGCTGCTCTCGCCGAGTAACCCTTGAGAAAGCGGCGGTAGTAGTTGACAAGCCCAAGAAATGAGCATAGCTCTGTCACCTTAGTGGGTGGCTCCCACTCTTGAATGGCCCTCACCTTTGCCTTATCCATCATCAGCTTGCTATCCCATATCTTATGCCCTAGGAACAACACTTCTTCTTGGGCAAAGGAGCATTTTTTCGTCTTCACATATAGGTCGTTCTCCCGTAGGACTTAGAAGACCGCCCTTAAGTATTGCACGTGCTCCTCTAGAGTGGTGTTATATACAACAATATCATCCAAGTACACCACCACAAAGCGATCCAAGTAGGGATGGAAGAGCTTGTTCATCAAAGTACAGAAAGTAACAGGTGCATTGGTGAGACCAAATGGCATAACAAGGAACTTATAAGAGCCATACCTCGTCACACATGTAGTCTTAGGCTCATCCTCGTCCGTTATCCGCACCTGGTAGTACCCCTAGCGCAAGTCTAGCTTAGTGAAGTAGCGTGCTCCACCAAGCTGATCAAAAAGATCGGCAATGAGAGGAATGGGGTACTTGTTTTTGATAGTCACCTTGTTGAGCGCCCGGTAGTCGATGCACATGCGCAATGACTCGTCCTTCTTCCTCTGGAACAACACCGGTGCGCCATATGGGGCCTTCGAGGGTCGAATGTAACCCACATTTAACAGCTCCTTGAGTTGCCTCCGCAACTCCTCCAACTCTCGGGGTGCCATCCGGTAGGGCACCAAGGCAAGGGTTTAGAACCCGGTTCCAGCTCAATCTTATGATCCACCTCCCTCCTAGGTGGAAGCTTATTGGGCAGCTCCTTAGGCATCACGTCCATGTACTCGTCTAGCACAACTCGTATCTCTTTAGGCACCTCTTCGGGGAAGGGACTAGCTCATCATCGGGTGTCTCCAGCAACGTAGCAAGGTAGTTAGTCTTTTCCTTCTTGAACTGCATAGCTGACAAGGCTTGGGCTCCCAACTTGGCGCCTCGCTCCACCGGCACCATGCATGCTGTATTGTCTTCCATAATACACATAGTGTTGGCAAAAGGAATGGGGAAGGCTCTCACCTTGTCTAAGAACTCAAACCCAAGGACTAGTTTGAAGTCGTCCATGGGTATCACTGATAGGTCTATGTGGCAACCCCACTCGCCAATGCATGCTTTGACGCCGTATACCATGCCATGTATAGCCTCAAAGTATTGCTCCATGCCAAAGAGGAAGTTCTCCAACTCCCTCGCTACCCAGTTCCCACCATAGCACTTAGGCTTGGGAATATCAACCCCCGTAGTAGCTGTGCCGGACGCCACCGCCCATTTGCACAATACCTAGTCCGCTCGCATTTCCTCCATTTGCTAGCGGAAAAGTGCCAAGCTCCTGATCAACATAGCCACGTAGGGTGGCAAACTCACCCAACATGAGTTCTTGAAGTGCTTGGAGCTCCTGCCGAAAGTCACAACTTAGGGCATTGAGTGACCCTTTGACAGCATTCTGGACCTCAACGTCCTCCGACTCCAGCCTATCTATGCACTGGTGAGCATCCTCAAGCTGCTCCAACACGTTGGCTATGGACCTTTCCATGTTTGCCATACGTGCCTCTAAGCCCGCCATGATATCCTTCGATTTAGCCCTTGTCCTCACTCCGATTGGAGGGAGATTTGTGTCCCTTCCATGTAGATCCTCCTCTTGGTTATTAGTCACGTCCGATTGCTCCGCCATAGCTTCCTCCACACAAGGTGTAACGCTTCACGACCTTAGCTCTGATACCAACTGTCACGGACTTAGACCTTTCCAAGCTCACGTGCGGCTTTAGACACTTTCAAGCCCCCTTGAAGCGCTAAGTTAGCCTATCCGAGTGTGCTAGCTTAGTGAAGACTAAGGCTAGACAAGTGCTTTGCTTACTTGGGTGTGTAGGAAGAGGTTAAGCAAGTGAGCAAGAGAGTTTGGGAATGTATAGAACTTGTATTGCTTGAGAGCAGAAGATTACAACTTCGTTGTTTGGTGAGGAGCAAATGAACTCCCACCTCTTATTTATAGGCCTTTGGCCTTACAAGAACATTCTAGATGTGTACAAATGTGTGGCCTAGATTTAGTATCTAGAATCCTCTAAAGAAATATCTACATAATTTTAGAACTATGTACAATGTACAAGACAAATCAAGAGAATTCTATACAACTCTAGACAAGTCTAGAAAAGGCTAGACAACTCCACACTAATTTAGAGAATTCCAGAAAGTTCCATACTTGTGTAGAGAAGTCTAGAAAGCTCCGGTCCATGCAAGCTCCATGTCATTGTCTGCTGGGCGTCTGCGTGGCGCCTGCGTGGCGTA